TCTAACCCAGTACTTTTACAAAATCCTGTTCTGATCGTAACCATTTGGTCACTAATGACTAAATTTGGGAAGGAATCTCGAGAGTTTAAGTAAAACGCCGTGACCAGTAGAATTTGATTATGTCGGGTGTGAATCAGTCTTCGACCGTCGGCAATGGAAGATGGTTCGATAATATCGCGAACTGAATGAATTTAGACGGACTCACCACTGTGTGGTGGCTCAGTGGTCTGAAGGCATGGATTTCGCCGTGAAACCGGAGGGTCTTAGGCTCGGTTTGCTGTGTCAGCGTCGTGGACAGTCCCATACTAGAATAAAACAAGTATCCAGTTCCTACTGATTCTTAGTGGTGGTCTACTTGGGGTTGATTCAGGGAGCAACAACAGAAATTAGAGTAGAATAACATGATTTCATCATATTTCGTCAGATCCTTTTTAGCTGCTTACAACTTGTGGTATCTAAAAATCAAGATTGCTGAGTTGAAAATATTAAAGTAGATGAATTTGGTTGTAAGTCGCTGTGATCGCAGATGCGTAAATAAATTTTGGGGACCAAATAAAAACCTGAAATATCTTTGTGTAAAAGTGTAAAATAGCATTCTAAAACACCAATATCAATAAAAGCTATGACCAAAGGTCTAGAAATGATTGATTAAGTAGTCAAAAAATGGTATCGATAAGTAAGAATAAAATGCTTCGATGTCATTTAGTTGACGCTAAAACTATTAAACTGGAAGAAAGCCAAAAAAGTGACGTAAAAACCAGTCGATTGAGTGGAAGACGTTAAATAAATTTAATGACGTAACGAAATGAAGTTTAAGTTGTCGAGGCAGAGAAAGATAAATAACTATTTCTTGAATACGTAAACGAGATTCCTGATTCCTGTCAGGAATAGCATCAACAAACTCCAGAAGACTGGGGTTTGGTTGTTTATTAATTAAGGTATCGACCTGATATTTTCTGTCCAAGAGATGCCCAGAGATTGTGCTATTCAAAGTACTTCTCCTTTTAGACAGAAGATTTTTTAAACATGTCAAAAGAAACTAATATAATCTTTCCTTTCTGCTCGACTAATGTAGCTGCTTTGGTGTATATATGTAAATTTATAGACACAATCGGGGGTAATATGAAGAGGGTATTTGCTAAAATTGACTAAATTATTTATTATCCTACATCGAAATTCAGGTTTAGTAGTTTGCCTGCTGAGTAGGTTCTGACTGGCGCAGTGTTAAGCCCTCAATTGATTACTCCTGAAGCATTGTCCGTTTTGAAGCTGAGATGCAGAAAGATGGGTACTTTATTGAGTGTAACAGTATCTGACTTGTTATATGTAGTTTTCCTAAAATTCTTAATATACTTCTGTGTCTGGAAGTTGTTTCTTAAGCACTTTTCAGTACTCATCAAGTTTTCCCGAATTCATCATTGATGTATATTTTATCTATGCTATAAAATACTGTTTTGATCAATGCTTTCTTAAAACTGTTTGTGACAAAAAGTCTGTTCTTTAAGGTCCTACTATAGTAATCATGTAAGTTTGGTAGGTAAGAATACAGTTACAAAGATACGAGAGTGAAGTCATACAACTAACCGTAGGTTGTTTTTTATGGATTATCAGGACTTCCGATAGCGGTATTTTCTCATGGACAGTAGGTTTGTGAAGTATCAAACTAATACAACAAAAATCACCAACCAAAACTTTTACCTGTGACCAGCCCTAGGCTATTGTGTTTTGCTCTGTAGTCACACTCCGAAACTGAAAATGTCTCGATATAAAATTCACTTCCTTTTTCAAATTATTTAGCATTATATATCCTTCCACAGTGAAATAAATCGGAAAGCTCCAAAAGTCCACAGAACTTTAACAGTACTCTAGCTAATCTTCTCTTCAACAAATTATCCTCCTTGATTCCTAGTATTACTTCTGTCCCTGTTATCAATCTTCTTCTAGTTTCGTCTTCTATCTTACATGCAAGAGGTACTAACGGCCCTTTCTTATAATATGCCTACCGTTGTACAGTGCGGTAACGATTTGCTAAAGCCTGAAATGTTCAAGCCCTATATCCGAGTGGACAATTTATTTAACTTGTCTTAGAATTTCATGTCATCTATGTTTTCCATGTCCTCTAAATCCCGATACAGGCCGTGGTAATGGCAATACGCTTTAAATTGCTTAACCATCAAATTTAATTTTTTTTGGGATATTGGGTTTCAGAACGAATACTTGGTCAATTTTATATTCAATAATTTTTATTTCATTTCAAACTCTTACCCAGCATTATTATTAATCAGGCATCTAGAAATGAGATATCATCTTTTTCTTCTCCTTTTAGGGTGAGTGTAGTAAATGGATAAATACTGACGAATTTATCAACCTTACTGTATAAAAATCATGAATGTATCATCTTTGTAGTTATTGTAGAATCCTATCTTGTTGACAAGTACGTTAATGAGACTGTCCTCGAGTTTTACTTGGAGTAAGAATAACGGCTTCATTTTGTTGCCAGGATGATAAAATTATTTTAATCTCAGAAGGGAATTATGATAGAGTATATTGATTTGTCAGAAATTGTTGACAGATCATTGGTAAAATTAAAAAATTCGTATTTTGCTACTTATGTGGTGTGTGCTACTTATATTGACATAAGTAGTATATGATGTTAGTCGTGAATAGAAGGTCTGGCGGCAGAGAGACAAAATAATCGAACAGTAAAGAATGGAAACAGAATGCAATATGTATGAAAATGCAAGAACAATGAAGTCTGAGTCATCTTGATACAATCGGTGGACATTTTGCAAATTAAGCATTTACTTTATGATTGTTATATTTTATTAACAAGTCCTGTAATTTTGTGCTAAATACATTTGATTGTGAACATCCTCTGCAACATAGCTCAATGAATGACAATGAAAGCTTATATTTTGCAACATTTGGTTAATATTAATCTTGGTGCGTAAGACTAATTCTTCAACATAGTTTATAAGAACATAGATGTCAGTCTAACTTGGGAAAGTACTTAATAAAGAATTACATAAATTTAAAAAATTACTCCTCTTACAATTAGACAGGTTATACTTAATAAATAACCCGACATGTTTTAATAGAATGTTAGTTGGAACATTCGCTCAGAATGTCTGCCAGTCAATCAAACAATCGAAGACTGTTTATCCGTGATAAACCATTACTTATGAATTTCAGAGTATATACTTTTATAAGGTTTATAATATACTTAGCTAGCTAATTTGGGATCATTGTTAGTACGAGTTCATACATTGAAATTAACATCTGTCAGAAGATAAGCATATGAAAATTTCATCTACAAGACCACGTCCTATGTTGAAGTTTACGGATAAACATCACAAGTTGGTTTTTCAGAAATGCACATTCTGTTGAAACTAAGCTAACACCATGTTTCCATTCATAAATTAGGATATAATTAGTATTCGAAATTCTATAACTAACGACCGTCAATAATTAGATATAATAATGTAATAATGTTTCGAAAAATATTTCTTCCAAGTAACTAAAATGTGTATTTAAACTGTTAAATATTATTATCTGTATAGGGGGTGGTGGGGATTGTTAAGCTTTGATAGAGATTATTAATGGATCAATGGCAGACCAATATTGAAAACCTGGAAGAACTGGACAGCCGTTTCTTCCTAGTATGGGACTCGTGAGCAGTACATACCTACGACTCTGCATCCGGGATTTGAACCTATGACATTCAGTCTCGCACGTGGATGTAGTCACTCACTGCAAACAATGGAGGACGATCGTGCAATATCGTAGATTGGTTGAAGTTAGACATTAACATCGTTGTATGTCGGTTTGGTGGTGTAGAAGTTAGGCGTCCGCAAGCGAGAATAAAGTTCGAGTCCCGGGTGCGGTATTGTGGATGTGCATCGCTCAAGAGTCCCATGCTAGGACAAAACGGCCACCCAGTTCTTTCAAGTTTTCAATGGTGGTTTAACATTGATCTACTCATGATCTCAGTGTTAAATATGATTTAAGTTGACAAATCCAATTTATATTAAAGACTTGATAACTGAAATCGAGATCGTATGAATTTTCAACAAATTTGTGACCAACAGCTTCGGAGTCACTCCAACACTTACCGCTAACGTTTTCTCAATAAATCAGTCTGTGGAACCTGAGATACCTTACCTACTTCTTATTTCTTTCTAATACAGTTCGATTTTGGTTAAACACGGAGATCTGGCCTTCAGAAATGTTATAATGAAGAATAGAACAACTAGATATCTCGTCCGATTATTCGAATTCTCTATAATCTACATCTGTCAATCTTATTCACCGACCCGTTAGTCAAGATATGCAAATTAAATGTTCATCTCTCTCCAAACTTAGATTTATAAGTGACTATTAAAACTGGATGAAATCTGTAAGAGTCATTGTCCTTAAATTTACAAAATTTTATTTGTTAAAACAGTCAATAATATCGTATTTCTACTGAACATATTCAAGATATGTTTATTTATGAATAAAAAGATTTACAAAATTTCAAAATCATTAGAAGTTCTTCACAAAAAAATGTTCCTAGAAATTTAACACTAGTTTCCACTACATGATAACATTATAAATGAAGTTATTATAAACCAGCATGTACTGAAAATTGTATTCAGAACCATTATTACTTCAGTGATCAAACGATGAATATTCATATATATAAGAGGTAAATCTATAAAATCATATTTTTTATTCATATTGATTGTAATATAGTTTATTGATAAAATCATCACATCGTTATGATTATACAGCACTGTATTTTTACTCACTCATTATTTATGTAGGGATTAAAATTTGTATTTATATTGAACTTTGTATCTTTATCACATTTCAATTGAACAGTATGAAGTGATTTTCATTTGAATAAACTTAGAGAAATAAATATATGTATTGATACAAGGTTTGGTGTAGGCATGTATCAATATTTGTATAACTTTATTTATGTATATCTAATACCGGTACCATGATTGGTTCAAATAGTCTATTAAAATATTTTTAATCACTAAGTATTAACTACAATTTATGTAACAAGAAATATGAAATTATTAAATCAAATTAGAAATATCACACTACTAATGTACCATAAATTTCATAATTTATTTAATTCAAATAATAAATCTTTAGCATATTTTATAATTATCATGTTTATTACAATTTTGTATTATTCAATTCTAATGAAACTAATAAATCCTGAAGTTACATATATAATTGCTCCAACTTCATCTGGGGTATTTATACAATTTACAAACAATTCATTATCAGCAAATTATACTACTGAAATTGTGACACATCGTATAACTAGTTCAACCCCTATAATTACCACTAAAACTTTTCATCCTCAACGCCGTCACCATCATCATCACCATCATCGTCGTCGTCCACGTTATGGTCACAAAAAAATGAGATTGAGAGAAGTAAAGTCATTGAACATCATCAAGTCAAAGTTTCAAGTACATTCAAGATTAAATTGGAAAAATAAAAAAAATAATGATGTTTTATCACAAAAATTTTTTCCTCCATTATATCTTAATCATTCATTTTGTTTAAATCAATCTAATTTTCATATTGATAATGAAAAATATATTAAATTAAAAAAATATCGACAAATTATAAATTTACCTAATGTATTAAGAGTATTTAATATAAGTCAATGGTTCAAAATAAAGCCAACTATATGTCAATCTAGTAAAATAAATTTATTAATTATTATATTCTCTCCAATAATAGATCATTCAATTCGTTATAAAATTCGTCAAACATGGGGTTCAATTAAATATATTTTAAGTGATACTATTATAAATAAACAATATTTTAATGGATTAAATATTATTGAACATTTATTTATTGTTAATATTACAAAATATAAATTTAAACAAAATTCGATTCATATTCAAAATCTTTTAAAAGAAGCACAATATGAAAAAGATATTTTAATTTTATGTTTAAATCATTTACAAAATAATTTAGCTTCATTATATCTTTTAACAAGTGAATTCTTATTAAATTCTTGTAAACATTCTATAGATTTTGTTTTATTTATTAATCAAGATTTATTTCCTAATTTAAATGCTTTAATACAATATACAAATTCAAAATTATTACATTTAACATCGAATACATTAAAACAAAATCATAATCCATCTATATATTGTATACCAATGATACAAAAACATATTGAATATAATAAACGATTTAATAATTTATATAAAAATAATTTACCTATATGGCAAGGAAATATTTATCCTACATATTGTGATATTAAAACTGGTGGTTTTTTATTATTATTTAAAACAATGAAACAATGGTATACATGTTCTCATTTATATATACCATTTAATCCTATACAAGTTTATTTAACTGGTTTTATAAGATATATAGCTAAAATTGATATTGAAAATTATTGGATAAATTATTGGTCAATTAGTAATTTGTTACCAAGTGTATCATTAAATAAGAAAAGTAAAAAATATTTATTTTTTCAAAAATCTATTAATCAAAATAATCGAGTATGGAAAAGTGTATTTCGTGCAACGTTGAGTTGATAACACCATATATATGTATGTACTTTTCTTCTGAATCTTACTTTTGTTTCCATTGAGTGGAAATATATTAATTCAAATTAATGAGTCATTTGAAATAAAAATATAAATCAAATTTATTATTTATTTACTTACTTACTGATGGATAGGACATACATTAAGGAAATCATCTAACTGCATCACGAGGGAAGCCCTAACTTGCAATCCTGAAGGATAGCAAAAAAAAAGAGGAAGGCCGAAGAACACATTACGTCGGGAAATAGAATCAGATATGAAAAGGATGAATAACAAGTCGTAAGAGCTGGAAAGGACTGCCCAGGACAGGGTTTGATGGAGAATGCTGGTAAGCGCCCTATGCTCCTTCACGAGGAATAACAGGCGTAAGTAATTACTTAGTTACTTACTTACTTACTCAAACCTCTCACACCAGTGATCTTGAACTAATATAATGCTGAGTTCTTAATTTAGTTGTTATCGGATGCTATCCATTTTTTTGTTGTCTGTCCCCAGCTCCTGGCATCATATATTTTTCTGATTGCCTGTTTCCCTTTTCCCTGGAAGATTTCAAGTAAAGGCTTGCTTTGTGATCCATTTTGATGATTTTACGTAATTTGAGTACTATCTTCCTTCAGAGTCTTTTTCTAGTTTTTTTAACTACCAACTATTTTGTTCTCTGACAGTAGCTTACACCTGATGATTTCTGACTAACAGATATTGAATCTTTTGCGTCAATGGCTATTTATAAATCCTTGTGCTTTTGGTGATGAATTAAGTTGTTCTTCATGTTTTAATTCCATACAATGGATCTTTTTTTTATTTTTGAGTTAAAAATTCATGGCATTTGGTCATGAGTGACAGTTCTTAAGTCCCATATTTTTATTCAGTCGTAGGCATATCCGCTTTGTATTGCTGATCCGTGCTTTGACATTTGCATCAGATCATTCTGGTTTATCCCTAGTTCTGTCCATCTATTTAAAAGCTTTCACCTCTTCCGGGGCTTCTTCACCAAGTGTGATTTAAGTTTACCCACTTCGTTGTACATCAGCATCTAACATTTTTGTTTTTGGATGCTGAAGTCTATATCTCATGACGAAACCGCTGATATGATGACTGCTTTTGTTTGCATTTGTTGCTGTTTATGAGACAGAATTGTTGAACTATTTCAAAAACCCAAATTTTTCAACTTCACCCACCATATTCCTTACTTCTTCTCAGATGTCGCGATCATCATCTCTCCGACAGCTAGAAGAAAGAGAAGAGAGGTTAGGCAGCCTGTATGACATCAGTATTCACTTGGAATGTATCTGTGAGCTACTCTACGTGCACTACTTTGCAATTCAGTTCTTTGTAGGAGTTCCGTATGATAGTGACAATCTTCCTATGTATTCCATACTGTGAAAAAATCGCTTAGAGTTCTCGTATTCACACTATTGAATCAAAGATGTTGGTGTATGGCGGTGAATTCCTCTCAAATGACTGATCAACAACGATCCACAGTGTCAAGATTTGATGGGTACATGGCCGATCCCTACGAAAGCCAATTTGTTGGTCCCGATGTTATGAATCTACTGAATCTTTCATTTGGTTGAGCGGCGTTATGTTCAAGATTTTTCCGATACTGATAATATTGTAATTCCTCTGTAGCTCTCACATTCACTAAGATCTCTTTGATAGGGTATCCCACATTGGGGTCTTTTGTTACTTGTTTTTCGCACATTTTTAGGAAAAAAGGACATGGGACAGTTACCCCGATATCTGACTTCAGTTCTAGGTTGTGACTAAATTGTTTGGTTTAACACCCAACTTACCTAATGAGTCGGTGAGCACCTCCCTTAGACTGAGGAAGGGCGTGATAAGAACAGTACTCAGCCCCGTTCTGTCACAATTAGTGAATAACGGTCATCATCCTTCAGAGTGATTATCGTATACTTACTGTTTTTCCTTCCATCTCGTCTCTTACTTATGGCTGAAGTTATAGGGATTCGGGTCAATAACCAAATCATTTATATTTATAAGATATTTTCAACACCGTCTCTTCCTTGCCTGAATTAAGCATAGCGAACGATTTTCCTTATTATTATAATTTGTTTTCATATCCTTTTTTCATTCATCTTTATCCGCCTCTTCTTCAAATATGTCCTTTTCTATCGAATGATTTCAATACTTCTTATAGTAGTGGCTGGTTCTATGTCAAGCCCACATAGCTTATTCTAGCTTCGGGAAAGGCTAATATTTCCATTCTTCTTAAGTCATATTTTGACACTGTTAATTATTTACTTATCAACCTTGACTGTTTTCATATGAGCGTATGTGTGTGTACAGCTTATCCCACTCATCATGTCTCTAACCTATTTTTATCTGGCTCACACACCTCCACCGCGCATCAGTTCGATTCGTTTCTCTCATTGCCTGCCCAGATCAATGACTGTACAGAATGTATATATTCGAAATCCATTCTCGTATTTGGCTTATTTAATTTCTTTATTCACTGAAGCGGATTAAGTCGATAATTGAATACGAGGATTGGCAACATATACGCTTCGACATGTATATCTCAATAACGATCAATCATACGACCGAACTGGTGTCAGATATAAGGACACTAAATTAGTATTTTCAGTTTGGGATTGTGGAGATTATTGCATTTCATTGAAATCACGAACCAATCAATGTTAGACAGTTAGATGTTGGCTCCGAGGTCTAGAGGTCAGACATTCGCGAGCGAAAGCGAAGGTTTTGGGTTCGAATCACTCCTGCGGGGTCGTGGGTACGTACTTCTGGGGGTCCCATACTAGAGCAAAACGGCCGCCCAATGCTTCCGAGTTTCCAGTGGTGGTCTAACATTGATCGATTCATGATTTTATTGGGATATCTCACTGCTATTTTAATGAATGTTGACTCAATGTCTGTATTTTCTAATCCTACAACTTAATTCCTATTATGAAACATTGGTTCAAGCCCTTATTATTCTTATCGCAAATAGTATATCTGTTGTCTCAATGTCAAGTCGTACCTTTTACTTATTATATCTGGTTATGTATTCTGTTAACTCATAAATTGTCTTGGTTGATTTATCTTCATAATATGCATATAAACATTACTGTATATTAGAGTGCCAACTGATGAAAATTTGATTGAAAAAAATATTGTTGGCTTATACGTGTTGTTCTAATTTACAAGATAAGAATTTTGAATACATTTTAAGTATACTGTGTTAAGAGGATGTAAAGAGAAATTTTACTTTTCAGTAGATGGGTATTATCGTTTGTTTTTAACTGTAGCTAATGGTATATCAAAACGTTTGCATCATACGTAGCATATGTTGGTAGGACTTTGCAAAAAAAAACTGAATTTCATCTTTATGAATTCATGATAACCTGATTTCAAAATACACAAATATAGTGTTTTCTTTTATTGAAGGCATGAAAGTGTACTCTTATGAAATTTTACGGATTACAGCAACTTAATGATTTGAAGGTAGTTTAATGTTAGTTAGTTCCTCAGATAACACCTTTTTATGACAAAACCTATAGCAAAATTCTAAAACTAACAACTTTTACTCTATGTTCCTAATCCAATTCCAAACCCCAAAAATGTTGTGTTGTGAGGTCGTACGAGTCTGCAACTGATGTATACACTCTTTACATGTGTACACAAACTAGTCACTTGAGTAAGAAAACTAAGAGTAGGGAGCTTTTATTGTCAGTTGGGATTGACAATACATACACAACTCAGTTGTATTTCTCAGAAAGTTAAACCATATTTTCGACCAGTATCTATTTATTTAGACAGGAAAGCCGAATCTTGACTAATAGCATGAAACAGTTAGCACATCGTACGTCTCCTTACCCGCGTCTGATTGGCCCAGTATATCATTTTTTCGTAAAAAATAAGCCTTGCTGTTTAGTCTCAGCTCTTAGAATTCAAATGGGAGAATATCCAGTAACATAGAAAAATATTTAAAACATAAAAGATATTTGTTATCCAACCATTACCTCCATTTTCTTGGAAAATCAAAGAAATCGGAATGAAATTATTTTTTTAGGCAACAGTTAACTGACTAATTTATGAAGGGATTTACTAAGGTTGAAGACAGTTTACATCATGGACCGATATGAGTAGAAGAACTGTTGGAGATATTGGATCTCCAGATACAACGTATTAAGAAGAAATCAATCTTAAAAATTCATGTATTGATATAGGATGATGTACGTTTAGTCATTTTTCAGGACCCTTTCAACTGTATTGATTCATTCAGTAGGAATTTCATTTACTTCAACTTTCAATGAATTATAATATATTTGTATTGGTGTTCGACGCTGCAGTCGATCAGTTTATTCTGGCTGGATTTGAGAACTGGAGTGAATACCAACTCTGGTAGGCAGGTACATCTAGCTGACGAGTCCCAAATGGGAAGAAGCGCGGGTCCTGGACTCCACTATTACCCATCATCCATCTCAGTTTATAATTTCAGTGAATTGTCAATGTATTAATAAACTTACTGTAACATTCATTCAGTATGACAATTTCTTTATTAATAATCACTGAATGCAATTGGTATATAATTGAATGATTTCAAATGTAAATTTTTTCCAGTTCTTATTGAGTCTCTATCAATAAAATTTTGGAAAAGCTTGGATTACTGTCTATAATTGGTAAGTAGAGAAAACGACAGAAAGTAGCCTCTTTCATAACCATTTCAGTCCGAGTTGTGAATCATTAGCTGGGTGCACAATCATATCAAGACGAAGTGAAATTTAAAGGGTATTCAATATCTACTACTATCTTCTCCCAGTTTAAGACTTCCAGTAGTATGTACCGACGAACTTACCGAGGCTCGAAACTCTTTACGTTTAGATCATATGATAAGTTCGTATTCACTAGTCAATGTTTTTATAATTTCTTCACTTCAGTTAAATAGATTAAAGTACATGTTTGAAACTGAGAAAATAATCACACGTACTAGAAGTATAAATAAAGATCAAAGGTCATTATTATCATGTACCATTGAAGTTTTAATTTTCTTCTAAGTTAAAGCTATTGCACAATTCAGTGATTTTTAGGAAATGAAAGTTTAATTTAGTGACAAAGTACATGTGAACATTGTATCAAAGTAGGTTCCTTCTTTAGTTTTCAGATAGTCTAACGTAATCAAAGAGAAATTT